GGGGGGGGGAGAGACATTAACATTTTTAGTTTTTATGCACAGTAGAATTGTAAATGGGCTGATTCATTAATGTCATGCTCATAATTGTGCCTGATCTACAACAGGGAACTGCTGCTTTTTATTTCCTTCCTTACTATCGTCATTTTTCCTCTACTTTTTTTGTATGTTTGTCACACTCTTGTGACCCGTTATTTTCGGGGTGCCTTGATAGTCGAAGCAGACTTTGTGCTGTTGAAGCTAAAAGAACAATGTGTATTTTTTGCTCGTTGGTTTGATTTTGCTCGTTTGTTTGTGAAGGTGTACAACCTTGGTTGGTGCTTGTTTGTTATTGTGTGAACTTTGACCTTTGGTTTGTTTGTTTTTACGTTGGAGGTTTGTTTAGGGGGGGGGGGGTAATCATTTTAAAGAAATTAATTAATTAAATAATTAACTAATGTTGAGCATGTTTATCAATTTGGTAAGTTCGTTGTAAAATGTTATTTTGCTACAATGTCCGCTTTGACCCCTTTGGTTCCGATAGTTTGTTTGGGTTTCTTAAAAGTTTGCCTTCCTCAGATGTTAAAAAGGTGTCGTTTTGTATTTTTTGTTTTGCTATTTTGTTTGATTTTTTTTTTAAGATTAAGTCTTCTGTTCATCTTAACTTCTGACAAAGTGACCTTTGCCTTCAAACAGTCCACTGACTGAAAAGGGGCGTCACTCTGACTGGGCAGGTTTCTCTCAATTACACACAGACTCACCCCTTTTCCCCTCAGACGCCGATTGAACGGGCCAGGATCAAAGGCAAAGTAATATATTATTCATTTGACTGTAACTTTAAGAGCAGAGAGGTTCCCCCTCCTCCCCTCCCCCTTTCCCCTCCCTGTCCGCCCAAGACAGAACTCATTAGAGCCCACCCATAGTTCTGCACACGTCTATGAGCCTACCAGGAGTTCCTGTAAACGGGAAGTCCCGCCATGCACCTCCCCACGGAGACTTCCGCTTGAGAGGCGTAAATGACGTCACGGTTCTAACATGCCTGATACAAAACATTCACTCTGTCTTTCTTCCTTAAATAGAAAACTTTCCTAAACTAAAAGATATTGAAACACCATAGTCCTCTTCAAGCCAAGAATGATCGGTAACCGAATGATCTAGATATCTAGATCTCTACACGCCACTGATGGCTGAACTCACTGGGGACACCGGTCTTGGAATTTTCACTTAGATCTAGATCTAGAGTTAGAGTTAGAGCTAGAGACTCCACAGTAAATATCTCACAACCTCAAAATCCTTCGGTTACCAATCATTCTTAGCAGTAGCAGTTCGAGGGTCGGCATAGCAGCGGACAGGTGAGACCCACCCTTCGCTACCTCAGAATTTCAAAATTCTAAATCTAGATCTAGTCAATGTCTCTAGTTCTGAGAAAGGGGACGGCAGAATTTTTGAGTTTCAGAATATTATGTCAAGCGTTTTCGAACTCAATTCATTGAATATCTTGATAACGACTCCAAATATTCTTACGATTGGTAGAGCAGATAGAAAATTTTCTTTCTGATCTCATCATGCCTCATAGCTCTAGTAACTCAAAACTGCCAAAAATTTCAGATAGGACTTTGTGAAATAATTCTGAAGTACATACTTACAGCACCACTCTGGTATGTTACGACCCGTTAAGACAGTAAAGTTGGGGATATTACGGCTCTTTCAGTCCATTGGGGTTATTTATGATTCGTTTCTCCAAAACTGATGTCTGTTATCTCAGACGATGTGATTCAAGAAAAAGGAGATTCAGACAACATTCTCTGACTATACCCACCATGTTGAAGAATTCCCTTTTCTAGGGAGTTCATCCATGGGCACTCTTATCACTGCGCAACATAATATTAACTGAATATACAGTGCTTGCTGATAAAGAGATTTGAGGAGATCTAGATCGAGAGAGAGTGAGTGAGAGAGAGAGAGAGAGAGAGAGAGAGAGAC